TTCAGAGGGATTGGCCTCAGCTCTTCTTCTCTGTACCCAGTGAAGAGCCCTCAGGCTTGTACAAATCCCCGTGGCCTTGGGTGTATCACACATCTCTCCCACCACACACTCACCCTCTGGTGTTTCCTGATGTGTACCTGGCAAAGGCCCTGGTGTTTTAATCCACCCACACATGGCTGCTCAGTCCTGGGCTGCTTTTTTCTTACTCTATCTGCAATGTGTTTGCTTTTTCCTCAGCTGCTCTGCAGGTTAGAAGGATGCATCCTTCAGATAATCGAGATGTGGCTTGTTCTTTCTGGGATTCAGTTTCTTTGCAGGCTCAGATCTCTGATGGGTTTGGAAAGTATATCCATTTTTAGCTTATCCTGCTTGTTAGAGCAAGAGTGATGGTCTGTTGTGACTCTCTGGACCCTAAATGATATAGGAGTCCTGAAGGATGACATTGATTTGCACTCCCACCAGCCAGTTAGGGCGGCTTGGTAATTGCTTTCATTTTTGCCCTTAGAAACTACATTAGCCATGTGAAATAAAAAATTTTCCTTCAAGTAACTTCAAATAGTTTCAAGTCAACATTTTCTGCTACATTTAAATTATGTAGTGCAAATTGGGGCTCGTTGGAAAGCAACTAAAATATGCATGGAAAGTCCGAGAAAAGGTTTCAAGATGGAGGCATACATCTCAGGAAGGATGCCCACGTGACATAGGTGATAGGAGTGGTGTCATCAGATGATCCTCAATCATGTGGTTCCCCCATGTGACTCTCTTGCTTCTGAGTCTAAGTGAGAGAGGGGATGATGGGGCACCCCCATATTGCTGTGCATCCTCGAAGCTGTGGGAGACATCAGCTTCTCCTTCTTCCTCAGGACCCTGTGCTCCATCTCCTGCCTGTTTGCCCTCTCCTGAAGTGAACCCCCATGGGGCTCCACATCCTGAAATACCATCTGAGTTCCTAGCTGACTCCTCACCGAGCCCTGGACCACACAGCTGGCTGTCCCATGGGCCTTCTGCTGTAGTCTCATCTCCAGACAGCTCCCGCATGAGCTGCCAAAGGACCTCCCCATCCTGCACCTTTCTGCATGACCCAGGGCATTGTCATCTCATTGACCCGTGTCTTCAAGTCCAGCACTGAGCAGTTCTCCTTGATTTCATTTTGTTTCAAGACCTTGTCACTCCAGAACCCACAGATTCCATCCCCAATCAGTCCACTCCTTGTCCACATTCAAGGTGACCACCTGGCTCAAGCCATACCACCTCCTCTGGTCTTTGAGCACAGCCTTCTCTCTGGTCCTCTTCCTCCTTTCCTACCTGCTATAGTTCATTCTCTATGTAGCAGCCAGAATGATTTTTAAAAATACTCTAATATTGCTTCCTTTTTTTTTTTTTTTCCAGTACTGACGATTGAACTCAGGACCTTTTCACTGAGCCACAGTCCTTTTTTCATTTTTAATTTTGAGACAGGGCTTCACTAGGCTGCCTAGGCTGGGCTCGAACTTGCAATCTTTTGGCCTCAGCCTCCCAGAGTCCCGGGTTTACAGGCATGTGTCAGCATGCTGGGCTTGTTGCTTCCCTACTAATCCCAGCGACCCTTTCTGCTCTGTTTCCCTCCTGGCACACACTGTGCTGTCCCCTCTAGTTACATGCTGAGTGTTATAGTTTGTATCTAGATGTCCCCCCCCCCACAGCCTCATACACTCATAGGTGGGGCTTTTCAGATGTGACTGGATTATGGGCATGTGATAACTGAATTAACTAGTATACTGATTGAATTAGCATAGTTCTAGGTGTGGCTAAATAGATTTACTGGAAATGGAAGATTCACCCTATTTGTGAGTGGCACCAACCAATAAGCATGTAGCCTAATAGAATAAAGAGGGAAGGGGAGGCTTGCTGCTTCCTGCATCCTGCCTACCCTGCCATGGACTGTTTCACTTCTATGATGTCCCTCTGCCATGTTGCCCTGTCTTAGATCCAGCTGACTATGGACTGTGAGCTAAAATAAACCAGCCTTTCCTTCTTTAATTTATGGGTGTTGGGTATTTTTTCCCAGCAATGAGACACTGAGCTCATTCTTGCTTAGGCTCTCTACCAGTTGCAATGGCTTCCCTTTGCAGATGTTGTTTACTTCTGCTTTTTGAATGGTTTTATTTCTATCATCCAGGTATGTCTTGGAGAGGACTTCCTAGACCCCCTCTCTCATCTCAAACAGCCCCTCACCACTGTGTTCCTGTCCCCCACTTAGCACCTGTCTTGCTGTCTCCACCACATGTGCCACTGTCTACCATTTCCTGAGGGCTTCCTGATGTCTCTGTTCCTTTTGCTCTTCTCACTGCTGGTTTGGAAGCTGCAGCTGCTCTTTCACTGTGGTGCCCTCCGTGCCAGCAGCAGTGGCTGAAAGGCAACAGGTGCACTCCTGAAAAGCCAGTATGTCGAGGGCCTCCTGTCTGTCCTGCCCACTTGGTGCACACTTCCCCATGTCTTGTAGGCTGCTGGCTTTCACACTGCATCTCCAGCCCCAACCTCCTCCAATCTCCAGATGGAGGACTCAGCTTTCAAATGATCATCCCCACTTAGCCATCTCTGCCTGAAGCCATGGGCTCTGCCACTGACTGTCCTTTCTTCTGTGCCAGGCAGCTTTTGCTGTGGACATATGACTCCAAACACAGTGACTTGGAGAACAGCAGACACACATTTTGTTCTCAGCTCTGGGGTTAGACAGGTCTCATGGCCAGGCATGAAGTGTAGACATTGAATGTGGCTGAAAGTGGGCTCACTTGATGCTTCACACCTGACGCCAGCTGTTGGCTGGAATGGAGACCTCCATGTAGCCTCTGCTTGTGGTTCCATGGCTTCCTCAGACCAAGGTGATGACACAGTATGAGTATTTTAAGAGGCCCAGGTGCCTCTGATGACCTAGTCTGGGAAATGCCGCATTCGGCTCTGGAATCACACATTCCCTATGCCATGGTGACATGGGTCCATTCTGCCATAGTCACAGGCACACCAGATTCAAGGGAACACATACATCCTGATCTTTTGGGGAAGAGCATTAAGATGACCTCGTAAGCAAGACACATGTGTTGTGGCTGCCTCAGAAGTAGCCACTACTTCATCTCCCACATTGCCCTGTCTTGGGGGAGCGTGACCACCCACTTGCCCAGCTGCCCAAGCCCCGTCCTCTTCCCCTGGCTCCTCAGCAGAGCAAATCCCATCTCTTGCTCATTCCTGTCCTTTGCTCTGTGACCACCCCATTGGGACAAACCTTGGTTACTACTGCCCAGCAGCTGGAATCACCCACAGGTCTGCACTGCCAAGCTCCTCCCCTCTTTCTTCCTCCTCACTGTGAATGGAAATGGGATTATGTCACTCTCTGGATGGAGGTCCCACTTTGGATCTGCCACCCAGAGCCTGAGGCCTGAAGACAGGGCTGCCCATGCTTCAGCTCCTGTGGATGCTTCCAGTCCCAACTCTTGGTTGCTGACTCCTCTGATGATTTCTGCTCCTGCCTGTTCTCAGGTGCCTGAGCTCTATAACACCCAACCTCCAGCCCCACTCCCTGCTCATAGGGACACTGCTGCAGTTGAAGTGTCCTCATATTCTGCTGAGAAGCCTTCCCTGAGACCCTCCACCTTGTCACCCCAAGCCAACCAGCCCTTCTCCCAGGTCCCCAGTGGTCTCCATAGATGCCTAACACCCATCTCTTCTCCTCAGTGCCCTGTCCTGGCTCCCTGACCACCTCCCTCAAGGAGGCAGTGGGCACTGAGATCAAGGAGCATCCCCAGCCCCTTCAGGCCTTGTTGTCCTCAGCACCAAGGAGAGGCAAGGACTGAGGGTGACCAGCACAGCTGTGGCCTGGGTCATAGTGGTCCCAGGACCTAACCTCACAAGGACAGGGCAAGGGCCAATCGCTGCAGTGTGACAGGGTGCTAGACTAATCAACCCCTGTACCACTCAGTTGGGAGCTCCAGCTCAGGGCCTGCTGTGCTGGGAGGAGATCCCTAACTACCTTCAGGATAGCCTCAAGTTGACACCGAGATCCTGTCCTTGAGTCTCTGACCTGGCCCAGGGCACCCAATGTCTACAGCTATCACTGCCTTCGGGCTGGAAATGTTCAATGGCTTGATGAGAAATTCTCATCCCAAGGGAAATAATGGGAACCGACCGTCCCCAGCTCCTTCCATGAATAATATTGGAAAGATGAGTCAGCAGTGAAGTTGTGTAACATATATCCCCAGCTTCTGGGTAAGGAATGGCACTGAATGAACAATGATTGTCAAGCTTTTACAGTAAATATGAGAGATGTGCCAAGCACCCACGACTTTTAGCCTTCCCTTTCGTAGCTGGTTGTAGAAGATCAGATTGGATAATCACATCTTCATGCTCACTGTGGTGATGGGCACCACATTCACCTGTTTCTACAGCTCTTGTCTGAAGTGGAGGAGAGGAAGGCCCATTACCTGTCACCTCCCAGTGATGATGCTCAGACCCCTGGGACCTAAAACATGAGTTGGGACCCTGCCTTCCAGGCCGATCAAAGCCCTGCACGCTTGCTTAGAGGATTCTAAACATTCCTTTTCAGGTCTAGGGATTCACTCCTCTTTTCCTAGGAAGAGAAATGGGTTTAAGAATCACCTGTGGTTTTTTCCCTCAAAAATTGGGAAAGCCATGACAGGTGAATATAGTCCTTTAAAGATTGATTTGAATAATGTTAACTCTTAGCTAAATATTCTTCCAATACTCATGTTTTTCTTCTAATATCCTAATAGAGAAGATTATCTTTGTCTCTTGTTTGTTTTTTTTCCCCTTACTAGTGACATTAATGTTATTCTGTACCAAATTTCATAGGAGAAAAATGACTGTAGATTTTCCATTACAAACCACCCAATGATTGGACACAGAAACCTAAATTTAGCAGAAGAAATGCCCCTTGGTTCAGTGCAAAGGTTTTTATTTAATCTCTTAGCTTTATACATTTTTAATTAATTGCTGTATCCCTTTTACAGCCTCAGCTGCTGCAAATCCAATACTGTCCTTCTTAGATGTTAAGCGGATTTTATTTCAAAAAATCACTGACAAAAAGGATGAATTGAAAAAAGCCTTCCAGCTGCTCGATGCTAGTCAGAACCTGACAGTGACAAGAAGTGAACTGAGGAGGATCATCACCACCTTCCTGCTCCCACTCACCAAGGAGCAGTTCCAGGATGTGCTGGCCCAGGTACATGTGGTGACTGCTCGGGACCTCTTCTGACCTCTCTCCCTCGGTCACCAAGGAGCAGTTGAAGTCATGCATGTTTCTCATAATTTCCTCAGTTGAGTTCTGGCCAGTGTGAATGGCCAAGATCATCTTTGGCTTGGTCATACTTTGCATGCAGAAGTGCCACATGTTTTCTTCTAGTTTTTCTTTCCTTTAAAGCTTTCTTAAACCAGTATTTGGTCAATTTACATTTTGGAATTTAGAATTTTGGCAAGTACCCTTGCATCAAAGGGTATCAGGCATTTCCCATATATGCCTGCCAATGCACTGGGAGTCCATATATATCATACACAGGCCACCCTGGAGTAGCTCATGGCCTAGAGAGGTGGGTCTGAGATGGTGGCCAGGGCTGGGCCAGTGTCATTACATGGTGCCCAAGAGCTGAGGTGGGTGAGCTGTCTGTGAATGAAGGGTGGTAGTGCTAGAAAGCTATTTTTTGTTTTGTTTTGTTTTTTGAGACAGGGTCTCACTATGTAGTTCAGGCTATCCTTGAACTCACTGTGTAGCCTAGGCTGGCCTCTAACTCACAGTGATATGCTGCGACCTGCACAGTGTAGGGTCCAAAGCCGGGGAGAGTAGTGGGAGATGAAGAAAATTGAAGAAATAACAAGAAAGAAAGATACATAGCAAGCTTATGCTTGAAAGTTGGGACCAGCTGGAAACATAGCTTGTCGGGAGCTAATGGCTGCCTGGAGCACCACACACTCTTTATTTATAGTGGAAGGCAAACAGGAAGAGAAGGCGGGACAAAGAGTGCTGTGTGGCCTACATGGCCTAGGTGAAACGTAGCATGATTGTTTCGTGATGGTGGATGAGCAGGAAGGGAACAGGGAAGGATACACAATGTACCTGTCTCCTGGGTCTGTGCTATCCAGAGTCTACAATATTTGTGTCTATTTGACTCTAATCTATGGAGGAGAAAGGGAGTAGGGAGGAGGCAAAGGGCTATGTTCAGGCTCAGCCCGAGGCAGTGATCCTCCTGCCTCAGCCTTCCAGGTGCCAGGATTACAGGTGTGCACCACCACAGCTGGCTCTGGAAGGCTCATTACGCATAGGCAGAGAGAACAACCGTAGAAAAGCTGGGTGCTTGCATAGCTTGCTTTGTGAATTCAGACAGCCCAATGGAGTCTTTTCTATTTTCAGTGAAGGCTATGGGTCAGGTTGTGGCTAGAAGAGCCAGCCCGGAAGAGCACTTTGTGAAAGAGCTTGGTCTTTGTCCTGGAGGTGGTAGGGAACTCATGAGGCTTTGCATCAGGGGTGTGGAGGAGGAGGGCTGTGGCCAGCCAGTGGTGTGGACCCCACCAGGGTAATGGGAGGACTGAAACTTTCACAGTCCAGGTTCTCGGGCCTGTAGGAAAGAAATATGAAATGCAGTGGGAATTAAACCTTCTCCAAATTAGTCTCTAAGGATCAACATAGCAGTGATGAATGCGAAACAGTTGGGCTGGAATATCAGCACTGTTCCTTCTAAATCAATGACTGAATTTGTACATGCACACAGACATGTGCGCACACATGCACAGACAAACATGGATACTACTCATTTGTTCTGTTCATTCTCAACAGTCTGGCTTCACACTATTTCATAGAACTTAAAAGTCTGTTTCTTTTTAGAATTGGTTGCATGACCCAACCCAACCCAACTTGCATACTTTCTACATATGATAATGTATGTGTCCTGCAAACAAATGGTTCAGTGAATTTTAGATATTCCCAAATTTCAGTCTTCAACTGATCTCTCTCTCTCTCTCTCTCTCTCTCTCTCTCTCTCTCCTCATTTCTTTTGTGCTTTCCATGTTATTGTTCATTTTCTCTTGTCTTCAATTTTGTCTTATCCTGAATTGGGGAGATTTTCAGCTGTATTTCCTCAAATTGTTTCTTCCTAACTGTATCTTCTCTTAGACATTTGATACTGTCTCACTGGTGGCTGAAGCTCCGTTTATTTTTTTGAAATATTTTGTTCTATTTTTCAGATTGGATAATATCTATTGATCTAGCTTCAAATTTACTCACTTCTTTTTACCCTCTTCACTCTGCTATGAGTTGGTGAATTTTTCATTTTCGACATTGTGTATTGTGGCTCTAGGATTTCCATTTGTGTTTTTTTTTTCTGTGTTACTGGTAATTGAACCCAGGGGCCCCACATATGCTAGGCAAGTGCTCTACCACTGAACTATATCCCTAGCATCTTTCATTTTTTATTCTGAGTCAGAGTCTTTCTAAGTTGTCAAGGCTGGCTTTGAACTTGCCATTCTCCAGTCTCAGCCTCCTAAGTAGCTGGGATCACAAGCACATGCCACCATGTCTGGCTCACTTGGTTCCGTCTTATAATTTCTGTTTACCTGCTTACATTCTCTGCTTTTTCTTCAGTGATGAACACATTTCTCTTAACTCATTGAGCACAGTTAAAATAGCAGCTTTAATGTCCTTGTCTGATAAGTCTAAAATGTTGTTCATCTCAGAGTTGGCCTGGGTTGATTATCTTTTCCCTTGAGGAGGGTCATATTTCTGTGGTTTATATTTGAGCATATTTGGGTAATATCCCAGCCTGGAGCTGTCCAAAGGAAATATGTATGAGCCATATATGTGATTTAAAATTTACTAATAGCCACATTAAAAGATAAAAGTTAATGAAATTAACTTTAATGACGGTTTAACCAAATGTATCCAAAATATTATTTCAATATATAATCACTGTTAACATTGTTAATAAGACATTTAGCATTCTTGTCATGTATTAAGTCTTCAAATGTGGCAGATACTTTCCACTTAAGCCGACTTCAATCTAGACAACTACATTTTCATTTGAAATACTTAATATTGTGATTTCATAAAATTTACAGTTGCCATAGCAGATTCGCACACTCAACTGTTCCAAACATACTTAAATGTTTTCCAATAACTGAATCAATATAATTGTTAAATTTTAAATTAATTAATAAAAGAGTTTGGTAAATCATTCAGATTGGCCACCTGTTCCCTCACCACCGTGGTGCTGTGCATGAGGGGCGCTGTGAAGAGTCGGGTCCACCACAGTCCTCTGAGGACTGGATCCTGTGACTCTCCGCTGGTGCTCTCCTCTCAAACCAGACGGAATCACAAGGCAGAATCAAAGGAGAACTGAGCTAGAGTATTTATTGTAGAGTGAAAGCAGAAAGCAGCATTCATTGTAAAGGAGAAGCAGAAAGCCCTTGTTTGGGAGGAGGACCCAAACAGGTTCACAGGGACCCGCTGTCTAGGATTTTCATTAAAAAAAAAAAGACTACACTGATCTAAAATTATCAACACAAATAGAACAAAGACTTTTTTAGAGAGGCATGAATAGCGTATTCCTGGACAAGAAAATCCCACCAGCCGCTTGTTTGTTGAGCCTCCAGTGCTCGCGTCCTTTGTGGAATCTTCCCGACTCTCTCTGTGGCTCGGCTCCTGCTTGGCTGCCGGTCCTGTCTGTGGGACCCTTTGCCAGAACCCTCCCCGTACTCCCTCCACTTATGGGCCAGTGTTACTCTGAGAAGTTCTTTCACCTTCCCCCAGGGCCCCGCGCGTTCCGGTACACATCAGGTCTCACAGAAACTGATTGTTTAAATTACTGTTGGGAGCCTCTTATTAGGTAAGGAAAATGAGACCCAACCTTTCAAAAATGGATCCTAAGCCCAAACATGCCTGTGGGGAGGACTCAAGGTTTGTTCTCCCCGGGTCTCTTTCTATCTCCCTGCCTCAGATACTTCTGCTTTGACAGGGAGTTGACTTGTGAACTCTGTCTTGCCTGCAGTGGGCATAGCTCCAATCTCAGTTCAATCCATTTATCCTTAGTTGAGCCTCTCTGGGTCAGACCTGCACGTGCATGATTCAGTGACCAGCTAGATCCTTGGACAGAGTTTTAACCAGAAAGGAGTTATCTTCCTCTCATTCTCAAGTGAGAGGAATCACATTTTCTAGTGGCTGTGGTCACTTTGAGTTTTGAGTGTTTGGGGTTTTAACCACTCTGCTGGCACAGACAGTGGCCTGCCCTCCAGCTAAAAGCCACTAAGAATGGGAAACTCTCCATTCCTGCATCTTCTCCTAACTTTTGACCTCACTCTAAATCTCTGCCACAACTTCTTAGCTTTCCTATCTCTTCCGAGCAATCATAAAGCTACAGGGAAGTTGGAATTACAGTGCAAAGAACGAATTTTTCCCAAACTATTTGGGAGTAAATTTGTTCCTTTACCTTCAAGTAATTTAGAATTTCCTTCAAACAAGAACACCATGCTCTGACAGCCACAATGCAACTATGAAAATAGAGATGTCAACGTTAGCTTAGCACTCGAATCTCAGCCCAGATGCCAGCAGGATTTCTCAGTTGTCCCACAAAGGCCTCGTAGGATCCGGGTCACAAGTGTGCTTTGCATTTGGTTTTCACATCTCTTTCATCACCTTCAGTCTAGAACAGTTCTTCGGTCTGTCCTTGGCTTTGGTGACCTTGGCACATGGAGCTGGCTCTTCTGTGGAGTGGCCCAGCCTGGGTTTGGCTAGTGTTTCCCGGTGGCCACACGCAGGTTGGCGTCTTGGCAGAAATGTCACAGCAGCGAGGCCATGGGATTGCTCGGCTTTTCCTGTTGTAGGCACTTTGTCATTAATACAGATTCTGTGAGCAAAACTTAGGAATTAGTAAATATCCCATTTTTCATCTAACTTTCAGTTTATCCATTTATTGTTTATATAGTTGCAGGGACTCAAGATTTCCTAGTAAGTGGGTCCATTACTTTCTTTCTTTTGGTGTTCGGATGATCCCAACGTGGCTGCTGGCAGCCCTCCAAGGCTGATTTCTGTGTCCTTTTGATGTCCTCATTCCTTGAGCCCTTCTTTGCTTCCTAAGAGATCCCAAGCTCATCCATACTTCCCTTGCTCTGGTCTTAGAATCATCCATTTTACCCTAGAGACCTGGTTCCTTGGAGTGGAAGAAGACGTGGAAAAGCCAG